GCAGAGGATTAACCCTTTAGAATCCACAGTGAGTATATCAAGCATGCTTTACTACATATACACACTTGTTTTACTGTTGTGTGTGGGTTTAGTAACACTTTAAGGGTCTGGAGCAAGTGCACCACAATCTGCAAGCTAAGGCCCAGCGGATTTCCTAGGTGGAGGATCAGATCTCCTCCATAAAAGATGAAGTGACTGCTACGTCGGCAGCAGTGGCCTGGCTTACTCAGGATCAGAGAAAGCTACATGAGAAGATGGACAACCTTGAAAATTGTTCACGGTGCAATAATTTGCATATTATAGGTCTGTTTAATAACTAAAAAACAAACCAGCCCTGAGCAACTGGGCCTCAGCTCACCTTGTATCATAGAACGAACGCATCGCATCAATGAACATCTGAAGTCTCGCTCTAAACCCCCGACCAGCGATAGTTCGCTACCCCAACTATGCTGACAAGCATGCCATCCTACAAAGATTTTGTTGGGCACGCAACCTCTCCATTGATGATCATCTGCCACTACTATTTGTCAACTACTCCACTGAGGTGGTACATTCGTGCAAGGCTCTCTCTTTTGCTTGCTCAACCCTTTACAGCAATTATGTTAAGTTCACTCTAACCTATCCCACTGTGTTACATATCCAACCTCCTACGGGGGACCGCATGACCTTCACCTCCCCTTCTCAGGTGGAGCACTACCTCAGCACATCTGTGGACATGACCATGGACCAGGGGGAACATACCCCCGTCCTCTTCTTCCCCCTCAAGACCTCCATATTTATCTTCACGGAACCAGCAAAGCCCTCAGAAAACCTCCTTACAAATGGCCATCAGGATGGATGATCTAATTACTGCTGACGTACCTATCCTTTTGCTAATCCCTGTTCTCAAGAGGGCTGGCAGTAGTATCCTTTGACTTTCTGGTATTTAACGTAATTTTAGGGTGCATTATTTAGTCTATTTTCTAATGTTTTAGGTTCTTTTTTTTTCTCCCTTCAGTGATCAAGTACTGCTATTTGCCATACTCCCCAGGGTTCAGCTCCTGCTCCTCCCTTTGGCAATTTTTCTTTTCCATGCAATCCACTGCCAAAGCAGGAGCGTGCCCCACCTCCCCCCTCCTTCCTTGCCCTTTTATCTCCAAGATAAAGGCTTTATCCCAGAACCATTCCTTGGCCAACAGACAGCTGCTAAGCGGTCTTTTGACTACTGGGCGGAGCAACAGGTAGCCGCCAAGTTGTCCTACTCCGCTTTGAAATTCCACAGATATGGTAACAAGGCGGGTAAGCTCTTGGCAAAACTTTGTTCTTGCTCTCGATGTCCTGTATATATATTGGCACTGCAGAACCCATCTGGTTCTATTGTTGAAACTCCCCATAAGGTCAGTGAGCTGCTCACTGCTTTCTTTATGTCCCTGTCTTCAGAAAATCCAGTTTATACTTCAGCTGCTGACTACTTTCTGGCAAATATGCATCTGCCACAGCTCTCATTGACTCAGCTTGAGGCCCTGAATATGCCTATTACCCTAGTGCATAGTCAATCCACTATCAAGTTACTCCTGTCAGCCAAAGCCCCTGGTCCTGATGGCTACACCGCCGATTTCTATAAACTCACTAGCGAATTCATTCCTGAAACCTTACAACATGTATACAGCCTATCGGGCCCACATAAACTCATAGATGAAAGGGGAAAGATCCTCTGCAACCAGGCTCTGTAACGGACATGTAAGATTTGAGTGGATAAAAATTTGATCAGTGGAAATATGGAATCATAGCCATAGCAGGTTTGAGTAGATTATTTGTAGATCGGGCCTTTTCATTACAAATGTGTATTCATGAACAGCCCTTTTCATTAAGAATGTGTATTGAGTCCATTAGGGAAGTTACTCAACAGACATTACAGACAGTGGTCATCATTTTAGCATCAATTAGCATTAATTAGTCTAAAGCCAGGCCTCCTGGAGGTGACACCTTTGTGTTAATAAGATTATCACCTGCTGGGAAAACAGGTTTGGGAACTAATTACAGCAGTTTAATGTTTAATCGCTCATAAAAGCTGAAAAATTAGTTGCAGAGACATGAACATGCTCCCTTTGTGCAGGGCATGCTGTGCGCTGCATTTGCATTTAAAAATCATATTTGTGGCTTGGGGAGAATGCCAGGAAAATGCAGGGAATGGTTAGATGGCTCTGGGTTGCGACAGTCGAATGGTGTTTGGTACTGTCGCGATCGGGCTGATGCGCTGGTGTCGGAAATCCAATCCCCGACTTGGTGTTCAGGCCAGTCTTGGCCCGATTGAACTTGGGCAGGTCCACACACAGTACCTCTTGTGGGCAGGTCAGGACCACCTCCCCCAGGGTCAATTGGCCGAAGACTAATGTCCCGCCCATGTCCATATCCCAATAAATTGAGTACACGGTCATTGGCTATTCGTACGGACCTGGTTCGATTGACCAACGGATTGCTAATTTTCTGGCTTGCTCCAGTCGCAGGGTAAAGTATTACTTCTGTCTTTTATTCCCTTTTTATTTTATAGTAATTAGTCATTTGTGTGTCTTTTGTATTTTCTGTAACGTTTTATATTTTGTACATATTTTATGCACTGCCCACTTTGGGAAATTAAATCTTAAAATTAATTAGTAAACTTCTGTGTATTTAAGCACGTGCTCATATCTTCGGAGAGATTAGATTAGATTGGATTAGATTGTATTGTATTTTAATGCCTTTAAAACGCTCGGTTAAGCTCATTGCCAATCTGTATGCAACTGCACTGCGATTGGGCAGATTGCACGCAGATTGCAAAGGTAACAGATCTGCCAGACGGAGATCTGTGTGTGCGTGGTGTCTCAACAGACCGTTCTGCGGATAAACTGTTGGGTGGTGGCAGGCTACCCTTTGTGGTGTGTCTGGTGCAGGGGAGTGTGGATAGTGGAAAGGTGATTAACACCGGGGGTTCAAGCTGTAGGTAGCTGGAGAGACCTTAGAAGGGTGTGTAATTACAAAACTGGTCCTCGACTCTAATCAGTGCACCAGGTTGTATGTAAGATTCGTATCTGCCAGTGTGTGTGGTCAGCTAGCTGGATTGGAGTCTCCCTCTGCTGGTGGCCAGAGGTAGTGCGGGCTGTGAAAGGTATCACGGCTGATCTTACATACGGTTTTAGATATTCAAGTTAAGTCCCCTTTATTCCCTCATTACCTCCCTTTCAAGGCCGCATGCACGCGTCTCGGTTAGCTAGTCGCTGTAGGCGTGGCATGTGGGGAACACATGACAGGGTGATCCTTGACAGGCTCTTACAGACCAAAATCATTAATTAACGTAGAAGCTAAAATTCTCTCTAAAATAGTTATTTCTTGGTTTGTTACACTACACCCTTCTATACTGCATCTTGCTCAATCAAGGTTTGTCTTGGGCCGTTCCCCAACCCTGAATATCTGAAAGTTCCTGTTAGCGCTCGACTATGCTAAAGCTCATCCTCAGAGAGAAACAGCTATCATTTCCCTTAACGACAAAAAGGCCTTTGATAACAATAGCTTTTCCTGGTGGTTATGAGAAAGCTTGGCTTTTCGGTATCCATACTAGACTTTGTCCAAAGGATGTACGCTTCCCCTACTGCTCACTTAATATACTCAGATTTCACATCATCCTTGACTAACAGAACTCGACAAGGCTGCCCCCTTCCCCCCCTCCTCCATTCATTGCAAAAGAACTATAATCCCGAATACTCAACTCTGATCATGGGGTGAGTGGTATCACGATTGGCAATCAAACTTTTTGCTCAGCTTTATTTTCGCGAGAGACATATTACTTTTATTCTTCTGATCCTCTGATATTGCAGAACTCCAAAACCTGCTATCAACTTTTTCCAACTGCTCAGGATTGCAGGTCCTCTTGAACAAAAGTGAAGTACCAGCCCTGTACCCTCATGCATCTGTACCTTGGATCTCTTTTTCACCATTTAGTATTGTGAAACAGTATATCACCTATTTGGGTATGCGAATAGGGCGAGAGCAGTCTTCTTTATTCTACCTAAGCTACCCTCCTTTAGTCACTAAGATTGTACGGGAGTTGGAAGCATGGGTGGCGCTTCCCATTTCGCTCTTCGAGAGATGCTACCTCTTTAAAATGGTGTAGTTTGCTAGATTGCTCTACCCAATGCAAACTATACCTTTATTATTTAAACACTTGGACATTCAGAAAATCCACACTGCCTTACTGGCGTTCTTTAGTGCCATAAGAAACCTTGTATTGCTCTCCAGAAACTTTATCTCCCCCAGGGTGAAGGTAGGATGGGTCTTCCCAACATAAGGTTTTATAATCTCTCCTGTTTTCTATGAGAGGGCCTCTACTGAATATCGGGACAGTCCCCTTACACCAGTTTTACACTGAAAAGTGCCCTGGTGGCTCCATACAACCCTTTGGCTATCTTCCATTCTAGGCTGGCTTCTTTGCTTAATAATTTAAGATCTAATATTTTGATCAGAGATACTACCTTGGCCTAAAGTGAAATGTGGAAATTCCTGGGTCTGCCCTCTGCCATCTCTCATTTTTTACCCATTAATGGTACTCCCATGTTGCCCTACGTAGTCCTTGTATGGTGTTTGCGCCACACATGCGAGGTATTGCCGCAAACTTTATAATGAGAGCAGTATTTCTAACTCCAGTCCTCATGTGTAACTCTAAATTGAAAACCTGCAAATGCTTTTAACCACTTGACTACTGGGCACTTATACCCCCTTCCTGCCCAGGCCAATTTTCAGCTTTCAGCACTGTCGCACTTTGACAATTGCGCGGTCATGCAACACTGTACCCATATGATATTTTTATCATTTTTTTCATACAAATAGAGCTTTCTTTTGGTGGTATTTAATCGCTGCTGGGTGTTTTATTTTTTAAACAAAAAAAGAGCAAAACATTTGAAAAAAAAAGTTTTTCTTTGTATCTATTATAACATTTTGCAAACGGGTAATTTTTCTCCTTCACTGATGTGCGTTGATGAGGCTGCACTGATAGGCAGCACTGATGGGCACTGATGAGGTGGCATGGATAGGCAGCACTGATGGGCACTGATAGGTGGCACTGAGCTGGCACTGATGCTGCACTGATGGGTGACACAGGTGGGCAGCACTGATGGGCACAGGTGGGTGGCACTGTTGGGCACAGGTGGGTGGCACTGTTGGGCACAGGTGGGTGGCACTGCTGAGTGGAACAGGTGGGTGACATTGATGGGCACAGGTGATGGCACTGATGGGCACAGGTGGATGGCACGGATGGGCACAGGTGGGCACTGCACAGGTGGGCGGCACTGCTGGGCACTGATGATCAGTGCCGATATCTTCACTGACAACTGCAGGTTCTCGGCAGTACTTTCCTCATGCTGTGACAGCATGAGGAAAGTGCAGCTGAGAACTGGCAACTGTATTTACCTGGTGATTGCCATGTCATTGGACACAGCTGATCACGTGCTAAAGGGCCACGTGATTGGCCGTTTACCATACCCTGTGATCAGCTGCGTCCGTAGGAGAAAGCGATCACCGCCAGCGCCAGGCGCACAATGCTGAGGGCGTGCAGGGGGGCAGATTCTAGAATGACGTCCATGGACGTCGTACCAGGATTCCACAACCGCGCTGTAGCCAACCTTTGGCTATAGCACGGTTGGGAACCAGTTAAAGTGTCGTCTCTGGAGATTTTTAAGTACCATAGTTTGTCGCCATTTCACAAGAGTGAGCAAATTTAAAGAGTGACACATTAGGATCTTTTTACTCGGTGTAACATAATCTTTTATATCTTTCTGAACAACTGGGTATTATATTGTGTTTTCGCGCATTAAAATTAAAATGAAAGTCAGGGACTGTGAATGTACAATATATATGTAAAGCGCTGTGTAAACTGATGGTGCTATATAAGTACATGTAAGAATAATATTAACCTCTTCACGCCGGCAGCACACAAATGTGCGGCCTCCCAGCGTCTGGGCCTAGATGCCGAGCGGGCCGCACATTTGCGTGCAATTAACAAAAAACATATGTGCTGGGAGCGCGCGCCCCGCAAACTCCCAGCACACATGTCTGGTACTCATGGAAAGGTCCCGGTCTGATCTTTCGATTGGGACCTTTCCCGATCATGTAACCGCCGTGATGATGCGTCACATGATCCCTAAACCCCGTCCCGCCTTCTGAAACTCTTGAAGGGGTTAATAATGAAAGTTTTTTTTTTTCTTTTTTTTTGTTTTGAAAAACCGCTGCGCTAATACCATGTAACAAAAAATTGGAACAACCACAATTTAATTCTCTAGGACCTCTGCTTATAAAATATGTAATGTTTGGAGCTTCTTAGTAATTTTCTAGCAAAGAAAAAAATTTTTTTTCACATGTGGAAGAGGGATGTCAGAATTGGCCTGGCAGGCAAGTAATTTCATAGGTGGGGTCCAGTTTGTTGTCCTTTTTGACCTCATTGCATTTCACCAAATTGTTATGTGGAGGAAAGCGCTCAGTTTTGCTCCTTCCGTGTGGTAACCCCCAACAACCAATCAGAGGGCAGTGTACTGTAGTCAGCCGTGCTTTGTAGTCGCTGTTTGACTCTATGTTCTTCATTGTTTTCTGGAAAAGCTCCATTTGAAGCTGTACATTTGCAATGTTCCTGTACAGTGTTGTTATACCTGCCGGTCTCTATGTGCATTCACTGACACTGAGCAGCACGAACCTCCTCCACCTCCGCCTTCTCTCACAAGTCGTCAGTCTCTTCTCCTCCTCCCGCCTATCCAGAGATAGACTATCTGTGTGGGGGGATGCAGCTATGCGCTGATAGGTGGAGATGGTGAAGCTCCTCCCTCGCCATCCTCTTATGTACATAGTGTCACTGAACAGAAGCCAGCCAGTGTGACTCCATCTCTGGTGATGAGAAGCTGGCGGCTGGGTGAGATGGCACAGCCGGCGGGGTTCCCAGTGCTGTGTGTACTGTGATTGGCTGGGATCATCTGATAGGGGGTAGTGAGGTATGTGTTCACCCAGTACAGCGTGGTCTGTTGTCTTCTCTGCCTGGTGTGTACTGCCTATGGTGTGCTCTGTTGTATGTATACTGTAACTGAGGGATGTGTTCTAATGCCTGTCTTGTGACCTGTAGGGATATCATATACACCCTGTAATAGTCTGTATGATTGTAACCCCTTTCACTGCCAGAGCTCCCCCCCCCACTTTTATGTATTTATTTTTTTAGTACACATTTAAAAAAAAATCATTTTAGACCTGAAGATTACATAACCACTTCTCTCACACCTGTTCACCCCTATGGATCAGAGCAATTTTTATATTTCTGCTATGGATCTGTTTATTCGGTGATCACGTAACATAAAAACATAATCTATATATATGGATCTTTTGTTTTAAGGACAAATAAGACTTTCTTTTTGTAAATTTTGTCTTACAACATTGATTGTTTTCCCCGCAATCCTTAAACAATTAAACATAACAAAACGCACTTTGGTTTTTTTTTTTTTTTGTGCAGTGGTAGTTAAATATAAAAATAAATAGTGCTCTGCATGGTTCGAATTCCAGACTATTTTTCGGTCCAAAAAATCGAAAACGTCGTTCTCTCGGTAATCCGATGGTGCCTTCAATTATTTCGAAATCTGGCCGACCAAGTCATAAAGTTCACCCCATATAACAGGCAAAATGTCTGCTTCTTCCAGGTCACGGCTCATGAACATGAAAAAACAATCGTATGATTTGACCATTTATTATTTATTTATTTCAGGTACTTATATAGCGCTGTCAATTTACACAGCACTTTACATATATATATTGTACATTCACATCAGTCCCTAACCCTCAAGGGGTGTACAATCTAAGGTCCCTAACTCACATTCATACATACACATACTGGGGCCAATTTAGACAGGATCCAATTAACCTACCAGCATGTCTTTGGAGTGTGGGAGGAAACCGGAGAACCCGGAGGAAACCCACGCAGGCACAGGGAGAACATGCAAACTCCAGGCAGGTGGTGCCGTGGTTGGGATTTTGAACTGGCGACCCTAGTACTGCCAGGCAGAAGTGCTAACCACTTAGCCACTGTGCTGCCCTAATCATTGAGTCGAAATCGGTAGTTTTTTTTCTCCAACATGCCTGTAATGTACATGTAAGATTTATTGTAACGGACATGTAAGATTTGAGTGGAAATATGGAATCATAGCCATGACAGGTTGAGTAGATTAGATTATGTCAGGCCCTTTCATTACAAAAGTGTGTGCAGGAACAGTCTGGTCATTAAGGATGTACATTGAGCCCCCTGGGCAGTAGGGAAATGAATAGAAGGTACAAAACAATTGATCTGGGATCAGATGTGTATGTATAAACACAATTCCTCAATAGGCCTTACAGACCCAATCATCATTTAGCATCAATTAGTCTAAAGCCAGGTTCCTGGAGGTGAAACTTTTTGTGTGTCAATCAGGTTATCACCTTCTGGGAAAGCCAGTGAGATCAGACAGACGGTCTGCCTTTTGTAAAAAGTTCTATAAGTAATATTCACATCAAAGGAGTATGTTTAATCTCTTATAAAAGCCAAAATATTAGTTGGAGAGATATGAAATGCTTCCTTTGTGCATGGCCATTCTGTACACTACATTTACATATAAGAATCATATTTGTGGCTTGGGGAGGAAGCCAGGGAAATGCATGGAATGATTAGATGACGCGGGGGTGCGACAGTCGGATGGTTATTTGGTACTGTTGCGAATCGGGCTGATGCGCTGGTGTCAGAAATCCAATCCCCCGACTTGGTGTTCAGGCCAGTCTCGGCCCAATTGAACTTGGGCAGGTCCATACACAGTACCTCTTGTGGGCAGGTCAGGACCACCTCCCCCAGAGTCAATTGTGAAGACTAATGTGCCATGTCCAAATCGCCATAAATTGAACGCACGGACATTTGGACAGGTGTTTCGTACGGAGCTGGTTCGATTGACTAGTTGCCAAGTTTCTGGCTTGCTCCAGCCGCAGGGTAAAAGTGTTATTCATTCCCTTTTATTTTATAGTAATTAGTCATTTGTGTGTCTTCTTATATCTTTTGTATTTGCTGTAACCTTTTGTACATGTTTTATGCACTGCCCACTTTGGACATTAAATCTTAAAATTAATTAGTGAACTTCCCTTAAGCACGTGCTCATATCTTCAGAGAGACTAGATCAGAGAGATTAGATTGTATTGTAGTGCCTTTTAAAACCTCGTTTAAGCTCAATTGCCAATCTGTATGCAACAGAGTGGGCAGTCTTGCACGCAGATTGCAAAGGTAACAGATCTGCCAGACGGACTGTGTGTGTGTGTGGTGTCTCAACAGACCGTTCATGGGCGGATAAACTGTTTGGTGGTGTCAGTGCTACCTTTGTGGTGCGTCTGGTGTGGGGGGTGTGTGGACAGTGGAAGGGTTTATCAACACCGGGAGCTTCAAGCTGATAGCTGAAGGGACCTTTAGAAGGGTGTGTGTGATTACTAAAACTCTAATCAGGGGCACCAGGTTGTATGTAAGATCTTTGCCAGTGTGTGGGTCGACCCAGCTGGATTGGAGTGGAGTCCCCATCTGGTGGTGGCCAGAGGTAGTGCGGGCTGTGAAAAGGTATCACTGCTGATCTTATATACCAGATATTCAAGTGAGCAAATCCCTTTATTCCCCCTCTTTACCACCCTGTCTCGGCCCGCACGCACCACGGTTAGCTAGTTGTGGCGGACACGTTGACAGGGTGATCATTTTAAAGTGAATCCTTTACAGTTGGCGCAGCGTGCGGGATCTGCTTAGTACATTAGTGCGTGGTTTATTCATTTAACTCATGTACTAAAGTTGGAAGCTTGGTAGAAGTGACTGACCTACAGAAGCTCACTCAGTTCATAATTTTTGTTTTGTAGAAGACATACTTGGCTATTTTTGCTCCCCCCCTTCTTTGTTTTTCTTTTCTATTTTTTATTTTGGCAAAACGTGAAGATGGTAACCCTGGAAGATAAAGTAATCCGGTGGTATGAGACAAATGGGACTGTGGATTGAGCTCTGTGATCTGAAGCGCATCAATAAACAGTTGGCAAGACGAGGTACCAGCTCCTAGGTGCTCTGATAGAGATGGAGTTAGAACGGCGCAGCAAGTTGGTGGAACACTGCAACTGTGCCACTCCAGATGACTTCAGTGTGACTCTGTCTCAAACCCCTTTTGGTTCAAGAAATCAGAGGATCTTGTCTCTGGGATAGGCAAGTGATAACCTCGGTTGCAGTTTCAGCTCAATTCCGAGTTACTACTAACGAATTGGGAGAAAAGTACCAGCAGCAGAGGGAGCAAACTGAGAGAAGGCACAAAGGCCGAGAGGGGCCCCAAATCCAGACAGCATGTTACCTCATCCATCTGCAATCAAGAAACTACAAGGCCCTCGTTTTAAAGGAGACCTGGGAATGTGTTACCTGTAACCAAGTGGGACATTTGCACGGCCCTGTCCAAATGTGAGATATATCTATGCGTAGAAAGTGGAAAATGTACCCCCTACTGTGTTTCTTGTTGGAGAAAATGGAGGAGGCCGAACGGATAACCGGGCCACCATTTACTGCAAGCAGCGTTACAGTTTGCGGGATCAGGAATGTCCTAGCTCGTCCAGAATGAGGAGCTGTGAGGATGTGAAAAGCCCATGGCTGGCACAGGGGTTGGAGGAGCCATCCCTGCTGTGCCTGGGTTGTGCATTTTTTTTGAGCCAGGAGTCTGTAAGTCAAGTGGAAGAAGTGGGCAGAGCACCCACTAATGAAGGAGGCCATGTGGAGAGTCTGCAGTCAGTCACACGCAGGCAACAATGTTTTCAGCTGTTCTCCGAGTAAATGTCTTAGCTCTTCCTGGATGGAAGAGTCGTGAGGATTGGTCCCAAAGAAAGCTTCATTATCATAGGGGTTGGAGGATCACCCCTGTACTACTACCTGCAGCTTGTGTAATGCTTTGCCTCCAAGGATCCAGAAGCAAAAGTGAGAGAAGTGGGCGTAGCAGCTACCAACGAACATACTATTGGGTACTGACCTTCTAAGTCAACACCCCTGAAGTCTACATTTCCACCCGAGGCCTTTGGATTCACGTAATGTACTGTTGAGTGACTCAATGCACACTGGGAATTTAAGGGTGTGAAGGACTGTGTACCAGGGCCTGGCTCTAGTGGATGTCTGGACAAGGCCTGGAGAAGAGTTTAAAATCGCAGAGGACTCTGCAACTGATGTTTTGTGTGATGATAAATTTGACATGTGTAAGGCAGCAGACCTTCTGGTGCAGTGTGACTCGGGGTGCCCGCCAGGTGGCCCCGGACCAGTCCATTGCCCACTGCTACAGAGGAAAACTGTCTGTGGAAGGGCCCAATCTAGCTGGGTTGGGACCCTTTTGAACCTGGCCCCAGAGGGCCTAAGGTGTCTCCTCAGATTGTTTGTCCACCTGGCACCTTTGGCAACTGATAGCTCTGAGTCCCCTGGAGCTGTGAGAATTGACGTGCAGCCCAGAGGATCTCAGGGTTCTGGCTGAAACACCGCCAGTTGGATAGCAGGATGGGGGTGCAACCCCTAAAAGCAACAGGATGTTCGTATCTGAAGTCCCCGGGGAAAAGGCACAGGTTTCATAGACCAGTGTTGTGTGCCCCTCTCCCCTTGTGGGAGTGAAGTTCTTTTGTTGTCCGTACCACCCCATGACACCGGACAGAGTACCAGTTAATGCCATTTTGGATCCATGGACTGTGGAGCACAGAGGAGGGACCACAGGGTGAGGGTTTGTAAGTCTGATTCATTCTGACTCTATCAGTAAGCTGTGGCTTGACGGCACCGAGTTTCCAGAGGCTGTTTTTACATCTGATGCCAGCCCAGAGCAACTCAGGTGTGCTGACAGACTCTGCTGAGGACGGGGTTAGAAGTTAGTGACGTGGGTCAGAGGATAACCCCTAGTGGAATCCTTCCTCCTGTAACCTTCCCCTCTGTCACCTCAGTCATGGGTGCTCGCCCAGTTGCAGACTCATTTTCTGTTGTTGCAGAGGGAAGTTCTGCAGGATGTTGGAGTGAATTCAGCCCAATCAGTGTCTTCCACCTCAGCACAGCTGCAGCTGACATCACTGAGTCCTTCCAGGCAGATAGATTGAGGTCGGCCCGTCAGGTTCTGACAGATTTCTGCTGAGGAGGACAGAGTAGAAGGGTGTGGCACGGGTCAGTCTTGTGTATTTTCCTTTGTTCCCCACAGCTATGAGTAATGATTGAGGGACTCAATGCTGTGCACAGCAAGGCACAGGATGACGGGGGAACTGACCCCCTCGAATCCTGTAGAGGCTGGAGCTGATAACCCTGGTATTCTTGCTGGTGATAGGTTTTTCAGCCCTGAGGAATTTTGTGCTGACTGCAGTCTCTGGCTGAGGCAGAAAGAGTCAAAGTGTGGGAGACACCATAGGGTGGAGGTTCTGGAATCCCAAATGCCATGTTTAACCAGGTTCACCCAGGAACAACATTATGTCAGGCTCAGGCATCTGGGTGTCGCAAGCCATGGCAAACCACCAGATAGACCCTGCCAGTGGACCCGCACAATGACAGGTTTGCCAAAACCCGTCCAGTCGATAGTCTGGCCCAGAGCAGATGAAATGGATCCGCGGGGGGATCTTGCTGGCCAGTTTTTAAACAGTTCTCAAAGGGGATTTCTGAGCTGTCAGCGTGTCAAAACTTTAGTTGGGGAAAACTTTAGGGAACCATGTAGACGCGTTAGGACCCGTTTAGGCTCAGCCTTATCTGGACATGTAAGATTTATTGTAACGGACATTTTTGAGTGGAAATTGGAATCATAGCCATTACAGGTTGAGTAGAATAGATTTATGTCAGGCCCTTTCATTTGTGTGGAACAGTTATTAAGGACTGTACATTGAGCCCCCTAGTAGGGAAATGAATAAAGGTACAAACAATTGATCTGGGATCTGGTATGTAACATCAATTCCTCAATAGGCCTTACAGACCCAATCATCATTTAGCATCAATTAAGTCTAAAGCCAGGTTTACCTGGAGGGTGACAACTTTTTGTGTGTCAATCAGGTATATCACCTTCTGGGGGAGCCAGTGATAGCAGACAGACGGTCTGCCTTATAAGTAATATTCACATCAAGGTATGTTTAATCTCTGGAGGACTAATGAAATGGCTCCTTTGTGAGCCATTCTGTACACTTACATTTACATATAGGCTTGAGGGATGGAAGCCATGAAAATGCATGGAAAAGAATGATTAGATGACCGGGGGGACAGTCGATGGTGTTTGGTACTGTTGCGATCGGGGCTGATGCGCTGGTGTCTAGAAATCCAATCCCACGACTTGGTGTTCAGGCACATCTCGCACAAATTGAACTTTGGGGCAGGTCATACACAGTACCTCTTGAGACCAGGTTCCGGACCACCTCCCCCAGAGTCAATTGGCCGAAGACTAATGTCCCGCCCATGTCCAAATCGCCATTTGAACGCACGGACATTTGATTCGTACGGAGCTGGTTCCTAGCGGATTGCCAAGTTTCTGGCTTGTCCAGCCGCAGGGTAAAAGTGTTATTCTGATCTTTTTATTTCCTTTTATTTTATAGTAATTAGTCATTTGTGTGTCTTCTTATATCATCTTTTTATTTGCTGTAACCCTTTTATCTTTTGTACATGTTTTTATGCACCCACTTTGGGAAATTAAATCTTAAAATTAATTAGTGAACTTCTGTGTACTTAAGCACGTGCTCATATCTTCAGAGAGACTAGATCAGAGAGATTAGATTGTATTGTATTTTAGTTAGTGCCTTTAAAAAACGCTCGGTTAAAAATCATTGCCAATCTGTATGCAACTGCACTGTGAGTGTGGCAGATTGCAACGCAGATTGCAAAGGTAACAGATCTGCCAGACGGAGATCTGTGTGTGTGTGTGGTGTCTCAACAGACCGTTCTGCGGATGAAAAAACTGTTGGGTGGTGGGGCATTGTGGTGCGTCTGGTGTGGGGGGGGTGTGTGGACAGTGGAAGGGTTATCAAAACCCGGGTTCAAGCTAGGATAGCTGAAGGGACCTTTAGAAGGGTGTGTGATTACTAAGCTGGTCCTCAACTCTAATCAGGGCACCAGGTTGTATGTAAGATCGTATCTGCCAGTGTGTGGTCGACCAGCTGGATTGGAGTGGAGTCTCCATCTGGTGGTGGCCAGAGGTAGTGCGGGCTGTGAAAAGGTATCACGGCTGATCTTATATACGGTTTTGAGATATTCAAGTGTAAATCCCTTTATTCCCCCTCTTTACCACCCTGTCTCGGCCGCACGCGTGCGTCACGGTTAGCTAGTCGCTGTGGGCGTGGCGTGTGGCGGACACGTGACAGGGTGATCATTTTTAAGTGAATCCTTGACAATGCCCGATCACCGAAAAGGGGAGTAACCACGAAATTCAGCTGGTGCCATTGACCCACTAACAGAGTGAAAATCTGCTGATTATTCTTTAATCCAATTTTTTTTTATGAAAAATCGGTCGAATTTTGACCCATGTATGGCCGGCCTTACTGCACATATAAAAGTGTTTTATTCTGTCATATGTCCTGTTTGAAAATGGCACTAAAATTATGATTCTGGTAGAAAATATTGCAAAGTTATTAAGTCAGAGTCTCAGGGGGAGCGGCCGGTCTCTGAAGGCTTCTGCAGGGTTGTAGTGGCTCCTGTGACACTGAGATTTACCGGAGACACCCCGGACCAGAGACCTTTACTGGAGACCCCTGGACCAGACACCGGTGACACCACAACCAGATACTGGAGAGAGATTCCCAGACATAGGCTCGCCGTTCCTTCCAGGACAGACAGAATGATACGTCTTCACAGAATCTCACATCAAGACTTATATGTTCCTGCTTAAATATATGGGCGGTTATGCTGTTGTAGTGGCAGCCATCATTTCTGGTGAGTTTTCAATTCACTGGGAGACGGTGACGGCATATATAGATTGGAGTTTGGCTACAAGCAGGAGCACATTTATAGTGGTGGATGGACATCATTTTAACACATTTTCAATTGATTGTGGTTTGCACCATTTGTTTTCACGGACAGTTATTTGATGTTCTCATTGCATCATCTTTTTGATTTGCTTTAATTATCTCATTATCTGTTTAGCTCTGCACTTCACACTTTTAGCCCTGGTTTTGCGCGGGCACGAGAGCCCATTCATTTGAATGGACTCCCATGCCCCGTGACACGCAGAGAAGAAGTCCCTGCACTTCTTCTGAAACCACAGCCCGCACGGGAACCTCGGTTCCCAGTATGGTTGCATTTTCCAGTGCGGGCGGCGTTCCATTAGAACCCTCTGTGTGGGTGGTGCAGCTGCAAGGATTTTTATGCGGATCCGCAGCGGCACCACCCGCACAGATGTGAACCTAGCCTTAGTCATTATATAGGTTTATATACTACCTATTTGTGTCAGCTACTTTATTTAGTTTTTTTTTTTTTTTTTTTTTTAAATTTGCGCATTTTTAAATGCACAATTTGGAAAATATAAGTTAAAGGTGTAAAAAATATTAAAAACCAAAAAAAAGTTTAAATATTATTAGTTAATAAAATAGAAACTAACAAAAAACAAATCAGCAGGAAAATAATAATTGAATGGAGAAAGAGAATAAGGAGCTATTTAAGTTAACCACTTGCCCTCCTGAGGATTTACCCCCCCTTAATGACCAGGCCTCTTTTTGCTACTCAGCGCTGCACTAATTTAACTGATAATTGTGCGGTCATGCAATGCTGCACCCAAACAAAATTTACGTCCTTTTTTTTTTCACACAAATAGAGCTTACTTTCGGTGGTATTTGATCACCTGTGCGCTTTTTATTTTTCACGCCATAAACAAAAAAAGACCAAAAATTTTGAAGAAAAACAATATTTTTTTAAAAAAAAATATATAGTAAACTCAAAGTTGGTTATAAATTTAGGCCAAAATGTATTCTGCTACATGTTTTTGGTAAAAAAAAATCCCAATAAGTGTATATTGATTGCTTTATGTGAAAGTTATAGCGTCTACAATCTATGGTATAGATACTGCAATTTACAACTTTTTTTGCTATACAGCGCTGCGCTAGTTTAACGGACAATTGCGCAGTCATGCAATACGGTACATAAATGAAATTTACCTCCTTTTTTTTTTTTCCCACAAATTGAGCTTTCTTTCGGTGGTATTTGATCACCTGTGCGTTTTTTTATTTTTTTGCGCTATAAAAAAAAAAGGCTGACAATTTTGAGGAAAAAAAACAATATTTTGGACTTTTTGCTATAAAACATATCCAGTAAAAAAAAAAATGTAAAAATCAAATTGCCATAAATGTCTGCCAAAATGTATTCTGCGACATGTCTTTGCTAAAAAAAAAACCCAATACCTGTAAATTAATTGGTTTACGTGAAAGTTTACAAATGGCGGGAAAGATACTGGGATTTTTAATTTTTTTTTTATACTAATAATGGCGGCAATCAGCGACTTATGGCGGCGATCAGCGACTTATGGCGGGACTGCGGGACTACGGCGGACATTCTGACACTGGGGGGGAACTGACTTGGGGTCACTGACATCCCCAATGACACCGATACAGTGATCAGTGCAAAAAAAAAAACACTGACACTGTACTAATGGCACTGAGGAGGAAGGGGTTAACTTTATTATTCACTGAAAGGGTTAACTGTGTGAGGGGAGTGTTTTACTAGGGGGCGGGGGTGTGTACTGCATGGAGACACACTGATCCCGACAGATAAACTCTTCTGTTCCAATCAGCGTGTTAGGAGCTGTCAGGGAACTGACAGAAAGCACAGCTACTGCAGCTGTGCTCTCTGTCAGTGATTGCCACTAATCGCCGGGACATAGCCGGTAATAACCGGCTGTGACCCGGCGACTGACATCCGAGGCCGTGATTGGCGGGACAGGTAGGGCGGTGGCGCGCCTCGTGCGCGCCCCCCTACCTGTTTTGAAAACACATGTTTTAAAACGTGGTTTTGCCCAGCCGTGCCGCCCTGCCAACGTATTTACACAGTGGCTGGGCGGCATGTGGTTAAAGTAGGTTAAAGTTAAAGTAGGCACAGTGGCTTAGTGGTTAGCACATCTGGGTCATGGGTTCAATTCCCAACCATGGCACCTCCTGCATGGAGTTTGCATGTTCTCCCTGTGCTTGCGTGAGTTTCGTCCAGGTACTCCGGTTTCCTCCCACACTCCAAAGACATGCTGGTAGGTTAAATGGGCTCCTGTCTAAATTGTCCTAGTTTCATCCCTGGCTACGCGGGATCCCCTGCATGGTAGGGGTTGGGGAAAGACCTGGCAGCCTACCCTGTAAAATAATTGCTAAGAGAATTCATTGAAAAAGTCACTTACAAGTGACGGTCCATGCAATCGCCAAGGGTCGGATACGACTGAATGGATAGAGAGAGAGAAGGGTTAATAAGGGGTTCAACAGAGGATCATTTAATTAAAAAGAAAAAATACTTTTTTTTTTTTTTTTTACTTGTCATGTTGTTTTAAGTGGTTTCATCTGCAGATAGGTGTTCATCCCTTTTGATCTGTAGATAAATAAAAATATACAAAATGAAACAATGTTTCTTTTGAGCAATGTTGTTGATAAACATTGCCAGACTGCCTTTCTTTGACAACTCCAGCTGTCAGAACTTTCTCTGTGTACTTGGGCTTTGATTAATCAGAGCTGAACTACAAGTACTGTGACAGGGGAGGTCCTGGAAGCAAGGCAGAAAGACTGGACGTATTGCATACTCTGTGTACAATGATGACATTTTGTTTGCGCGAATCTAACACATCCAGAGTCTGCAACTGGTTAAAACCTCCAAAACCTTACATATGTTCTGAAACCGATACCCTGGGGAATAAATTAGTGGAAGTTCCAGAATATTATGTCACAAGATATTAGTGCAACAGTTTGTTAAGCACTAAATTCATTAAAAATAAACGAATGTTATATTTAGTGCAGAGAAATGAAATGTGTTACCCAAATATGACAGATGAGGTTGTGCCAAGTGATAAGACACCCAACTTGTCAAGCCTTAAAGTGTGCCTGTGCAATGGCGACAAACTTTGGTACCCTAAAATTTCCATAGGTGACACTTTAAGAACCCCTACAGGTCATCAGTTTAGAGCAGTGGTCTCCAAAGTGATGTGGCCCTTTGCTTGCCTTTATCTGGCCCTTGGGGCACTATTCCATTCACTGACACCAACAATGGGGCATAATTCCTGTCGCTAACCCCAGCAATGGAGCGCTATTCCTCCCATTGACACAATCAAAAAGGCACAATTCCTCCAACTGGTATCAACAATGGAGCACTATATTTTCCACTGAAACCAATAATGAGGCATAATTCCTTCCACTGATACCAACAATGGGCCACTATTCCTCCAACTGAGAGAAACGATGGACCACTATTCCTCCCTTTGACACCAACAATAGGGCACTATTCCTCCCAATGAGACCAATGAAAGGGCACAATTTGT